GCCTTGGCAGGTGCTCTTGGGATGGGCTCCGGGTTCCCACCAGCTATAAGGCAGAGTCCCCGAAAACAATTTGTTCTTCAGCACAGCCTGGGTGGAGGTCAAGAACAAACTGGAGTCCTAAGACGCCGCACTTAATACTCACGCCAGCCGAATTTATTCAGAAGTTACTATATGCCAGATACCACGATAAGCACTTTTTCATCCATTATTTCATCTTTCAACACACTTCTAAAATAGATACTGTAATCCTCCCTATTTTACAGAAGAAACCGACATTTGCAGAGGTTTTGTAATATGTCAAAGGTCACACAGCTAGTAAATAGCAGAATAAGGATTTGAATCTGAGTAGCCTGTATCTACAATTTGGGCAGGCCTCTATAAACAACTGTTCTCCACTTGATGTCAACTGATCACTAATTCTTCTACTTATTTTCTCAGGTTTGGCTACTGGAGTTCACCAGGATCTCAATGAGCAAAGAATTTTGAAACTGGAGAACATCATATAAAGTTTAGGTATTACTAATACAAAGTTAGGTATTAGGTATTAGCATTATTAGTTTAATTAATAGGAGGGAACTGCACCTATCTGAGGATATTTGAAAAGCAACCCTGTGGACTGCCTAATTATTGAAAGTCACATTTTAGTCAACACCTGGTTAAACTCATGTTCCAACACAAAGGTTTAAAAGAAGCAACATCTTCAAAGTTGAAGAATAGCAGGGGGGACCATGTCTCCAGAGCTTTCTCAAACAGTAGAAAGAAAAAGACATATAGCCTGATTCCTCTCTTCTCTCTCGGGTAAGTACAGCATTACTGCTTCACATAAAACAGCTTTAGAACTAAATGTCACTTTTTAAAAGCATTCAATTTTTATCCATAAGTTGAAAGTTCAGACTTAAAAATGTAGAAGCATTATAAGGATAAAACTGTCATTTTTAATAAACAACTGTGTCCGTTTGGAAAGCAAATGGTATTTCTGGAAAAATTACCACATGACTACCAATTAAAGGAAAAGCTGACAAGCCTTCTCAGGTTATCATTACAAACAGGAAGCAACTTCACACTGCTTTTATGAGTTACATACAATTTTCCTTATCCTGATTTATTATGTTTACGAGTTTTTAGGCCATCACTCTCCCAGTTCCCCCAAAATAATAGCTATTGCCTTTAAACTTGAAACAGCATTCTCTTTAAAAAGATAAAAATCTTAATAAATAATAAAATCAAGTGTGAAGAGCAGATGTGGCAGAAATTTTTACTTGATCAGTTGAAAACCCCAAACTGTAGACTGAGCATTTTCAGGTGGTGAAGAGATTATAGTCTAATGACATAGCCAAACCCTGGGGGAAGCCACCCCTCTACTTGAGAAATTAATTTTCATTTCCTATATTAAATCGCTGGGGAAGATAAAACACCTTCACACAAAAAGTTGGGGAGGGTACCCACTCCATATCATACGCTCTGTAATAGCAAACAAGTTTAATAGCACAGCCTGTTTGGTAATGTACTGGGTTGTCGGAAAAGTCATGACGTATTTTTTTCTATGTTTTTCATTGGAAAAATGCGTCATGACTTTTCCGACAACCCAATAAATAGTGTCTATATAGAATTCAACTCAGAATGCAAGAAAGCCATATTTCCTCCAGAGTATACCCCATTCAGCCATCAACAAGGGATATTTATTTAGGACTGATAATATGTCAGACTCTGAGGCATTGTGCGACACATGACAGAATTTTGAGTCGACAGTACCATACCTCTCTCTCTCACTGAAGAGATAAGCTCAAAAGACATAATACAACCTATTTTTGCATGGTATTTAAAACACGCTCCATGTAACTCAGTTAATTTCACACAGTAAATATGTAATGGCCAGACTGCAGGTAAATATTATAAACACAATAAAATTAGCACTGTGATTAAAGAAAAAAATGTCCTTTACCAAAGAAAGCCCTGAAATCTGGTAAATACTCATACTCAATCTAGGATAAGTTTTTGTGTTATTTCCAAGCAGTCTCAAAAGACGGGTAGTGGGAGGTGGGAGGGTTTGAAAAGGTCTTTCAGAATAGATGACCTGACACCCAGTTCTGCAGTAAACCCAAAATGTTACCAATCTTTGGACCTGAAAGTCCTTGACATACCCCTTCCTTTCAGCATTCCTATTCAGGCTTGTCAATTTTTCTTCCAGAATCTCTCATTTGCCCTTTTTTTTCTGACTATCCTCACTTCTTGCCTGGATTTGCTCATTCATTCATTCATCATCTACCAAGTGCCTGCTACCTGCGGCACACAGAGCCAGACCTTCATCCTCCCTCTCATGAAGCTCATGAAATTCAGGAGAGCGGTTATCTGCCCATCTTGATCACCAGACTGAAAACTTTAGCAAAGGCTTTGCATTTCCAGATCATAGCAGCATCTGGCATACAGCACTCTAAAAATGTTGGTCGGATGACGTTAGATTACTTTAGCAAGTTGTTTTTTTAATCCATAAATATTTTAGTACAGTATATATCTTCAAAAAGGACTTATGCTATTATGGCAATATTTAGACCTGACTTGAGTTACTGATAGATGTGGTGTTTCCCAGTTAGCTGGTAAGCTCTTTCAACAGGATCCATTTTTTATTCAATGGTGAATCTTCCACCATACCCAGCACCATGCCTTCCACATAACAGCTCAAAATATTTGCAGAAAATTATTTGGAAGAACTCGCTAAAAAGTTTCATTTATGTAGAGAATCTATGCACAGATCTGCTGCCTCCCAAAGGCCCCTTCTGAATATTTATTATTATAAACACTATGAAATGATTTATGGTAAAAAAAAATTGTGATTACTCTGATAGCACCAGGGGCAGTCAGCCACATAAGGCAAAGAATGTATTGTAAAAATAAATCTAACGTGCATTTAGAGATAGACTAAAAGGCCATAAACCTCAGGCTACCTTACAGTAACATGCAAATAAAAGCTGCTCTGTACACCTAGTGGCATATATTAACTCCACTGTTGGGGATTAACAGGCTTCTTGATACAGGACCCTTACTTGCAAATTTTCAGAAACAACAGGGTGGACTGGAGACCTCTCTAAGTGGTGGTTGATGACCAGAAGTTTAATCTAAAGGGAGGACACCACGGGAGAAAAAAAATTGTTTTCCTTCATTCTTTTTCTTTTTATTGTACCTAAAAGAGAAGACAGCTGAACCTATTGTGGTAATCATTTCACAATACACATAAATCAAACCATCATGATGTATGCCTTAAATTTATAGTAATGTATGTCAATTATTTCTCAATAAAACTGGGGGAAAAAATGGAGGGACAGCAAAGAGAAATTGAAGAGCAAGAAGGAAGAACAGAAAGGCAGCAAGAAAACATCACTCTTCTGAGTAATGAAAAGTAGTACTGGAAATTCAGTCTTTACCAAGGGCCTACTATAAGGCAAGCACTTGGGGCTGCAAAGATTCCCCCTGACCTCAGGGGGCTAATAACCCTGTGGGTAAAACTGAAGTCTCTCGACCCTATTTTGTGTGTGTGTGTGTGTGTGTGTGTGTGTGTGTAATTCTAATTGGGAAATTCAAGCAAGGAAGGCTTCACAGAGGAGTGATGAGTTACTGAAGCTTTTAACTGTGTAAGAAGGATTTGCTAAGGAAGAAAAAAAAGTTTGAGCTAGTTATTTTGGGGAAGAAACATTGACACATTTTTACGGCTGTACTTTGGGAGCTTGAAATCATGGAGGCTTCTTATATGCAGCACCACTCTCTCAATGCTCTCTTTCTCTTTTTACTTTATCTTAAATATTAAAATGTTCAAGCCCAGCGGTAGAACAGAGCCAGAAAGCCCCAGAATGAGGTGAGTGTTTGCCAAATGTGCTCTGTCACCTCCACATCCAGCCAGCCCAACTAGCTCTCCTGGCAGCCACTAAAGGAAGACTAATTATATCCTCTGGGGACCAGGCTAGGGGGAAAATCTGGATGCAGGCATACATGGTTTACCCCTGGTCTGCCAGTAAGCCACCAAGGGAGAGCTTCCCTGCCTCCTAAGCCATGAGGCTCCTCGTCTACCTGTGAGAGAGGCCAGCTCCGGAGGAAAAAAGGGTGCATAAAAAGGAAGGGGCAAGCACTGGATAGGGAAATGCTGAGGTTAAGTGAGATCATCTTAATTAAATGTTTAGCAAGATCCCTTGCACACAGCAAGCGCTGGAGGAACGTTAGCTCTTACTAATGAGATTCCTACTACTATTATTAATTACAGCAACACTTCAATTGTACTCCAGCAAGAAAATACTGTTTTTGCAGTGTTTTGCGACGTTGAAGAAGCAACTCTAGACCAAGTGTATTTCCAATATTTTTCAAGGTACAACATTAAATTCAAACTGTACTGGCCTGAGAACCCGAGACCCTGGGGCAAGAGCCAACCCCGCCTCTTGCCAGCTGAGTGACCTTGGACAGGCAATTCACCACTCTGCCTCAGTTCCCTCATCTATCACGTAGGGTGAAGCAGCCTCTCCCTCGCAGGATTGTCGTAGGGTCCCGCCAGAGGGTACAATTTGCTGCACCGGGGCGGCTCGGTACAAAGCAAGCTCACCCGTCATCCTCCAAGCCTCCCTGGCCCTGGGACTGGTGGGATAGATGGGTACCCGACACGGAGGCACACTGAGCCCCGCCTCCCGCCGAGCAGGAGCGAGAAAAGGGGTCGCGCTTGAGGTGGGTCCCTGCAACCGAGGGTGTGGGGCCCCTCGAGGCTCGACCCCTGCCGTCTGCACGCTGTCGCCGTGGGGTTCGCTGCCCGGGTTGTGGGAGAGGCCGAGGGAGACCAGGCAGACCCCGGTCCCGCGAGCCGGGAGGGCAGAGGGCGTCGGGGGCACCCAGAGGAGGCTCGTGGCGCGAGCCTGAGGCCCCATAGCGCAGCGGAGAAGAAGCCGCGAAGGAAAAGGCAAGGGGAGCGACGCCCCCGCAGGCAGCGCCGCGCCTCCCCAGCGGGCCGGGATGAGGCGCTCACTCACCTGAGGCTCGGGTACCCGCCGTCAGTGCAGCAGCCGCGTTGGCTTCGGCTGCAACAGCAGCGGCGAGAGGGGCGGGGGAGGCTCTGCGGCCGCGCAGGCGCGCTGAGGGCGCCCGGGCCGCGCAGGTGCGTTGTGCCAGCTGGCCACAGGAACTACCAAGATGGTGACTGAGGCGGGAGGGGCCGGCGGCGCCATCTTAGATGTAGTTTTTCTTGCTAAAGAATCTCCTCAGTGAGGAACCTTAAACTAGAAACTATCCGGAGGGAGGGGCGTTGAGTGCTCCGTCTGGCCAGCCTCCTCCTTTCTGCGAAGTCACATCCTTATGAATCCCCTAAGAGCCCCTCCCTGTAGGGAATGGTGTCATCCTTTTACAAGAGCCCAGAGCTGTCACATGGCACCTAGCAGTGCTTAGCGCGGGGAAGGGGCATAGTAAGTTTCTGGTGAATGAACACAGTAATTTAAGAACTAGAACCCAAGACTCAAGGCTCTTAATTCCTCGTCCTCCATTATATCACTCTATTACAACTGCCAGCTACACCATCTTTCTTGGGTGCAACATGAGAAATTGATTTTTTCCCCCCAGAATTACACATTAAGCTTAATAACCCCCAAATTTAAATAACACCAAAATGCACAGGACTAAATCTCTTTTCCAAGGAGTTTATAATTTAATCTTTTCACAATAAAGGGAAACCTCATTTAAAATGGAGTTGGGAGGCAGGGTATCAGGCCCTACCATGCAACATGAATTACAGACACCAATAGGAAGAATCTTCAATTACCAACCTCAATAGAAAGAGATGCACCTTGCAAGTCGGCATTGTTAAAAAAAATAATAATAATTCAAACGAAAAAATGTGGAGAGCTAATTGGCTTTATTAAGCAATTCATGAATCAAGTCAGCAACCCGTCTAGCAAGTAGAAGAGTGCTCCTGGGATTGTACAAAATGGAAGGTTTTATAGGAAGAAGGATGAGGCAAAGGTGTTATTTTAAAAGAATTATTATTGGGCAGGACACCTTAGTGGGGAGGGAACACAAAGGGAGGATTTTTATTGTGCAGATTGCTTTTTGCTTTGTTTTATTTTATTGGGGAACAGCCACGGTCATTATATTCAAGTAAAACTTACGAGCTTACTTGAGCCAAACTGACAACTGCCAGGAAGCAAAATCTCAATGGATTGAGAAAATGCTCCAGAAAATGGCAGTTTTGCAACTTATTTTATACATTAGAATCAAAGGAGGTTTACATGAAATCCATTAGTGATAGATTGAGGGGTTGACAGCGATGTGCAGGAAATCTCTAGGATTGGATAAAAAGTAAGTTGGAGAGACAGGTACTTTTTACATTGGTGGGTATGGGATAGTTAATAGCATTTTAAAGCACATAGAGATGGTAATCAGGGGATAAGAACGACAATGAGGGATTCTGTAGTTTCCTGCTTTGGTGTGGTGGGTTGTGCCCTGGGAAAAATGGATTACTCTGACATTCCAAGGGCGGTTATCTTAGGTAGGAAAGGCACTAGACAGGCTCACTTAAGGTTAAGACTGACCTTTGTCAAGGAAGCTCCAGGCCAAGGATGTGACTGACTACTGGCAATGACCCACTATTAGGAATTTGTATGTTCAGACCATCCTATGGGGTTAATTTCAGTCTCTGAGTTTGTAGGGCCTGCCATGTAAGCCTCCCTGAGCTTATCAGGTTTAGTATGTGGCCCACTTTTCATCCACATAAGGAAGAATTTAACAAATACTACCAAACATCTCAAGAGCAGTGACTGTCTAAAATATTGTCATTCATCAAACCCAATTCCTGAACCAAATTTGGGGAGAGGAAAAACTAATATTAACTGAGCATGGCCTTTTATTATATATGATTTATGCTTATACATTAATATTTACTGAGTGCCAAATTAGTTTTTGTTCACCCTCTACTACCATCTACACGTTAATTATTGTTAAATTATTATGAAATTATTAAGCCTCTCCAATCTTGAGTTCCTCATCTGTGACCAAAGAAATAGTTATCTCATAAAGTTGTGGTCTGTATGCATGTGAAGTGCTTAGAACTTGCTATTTTTCTGTGCTCTATCCTGTATAGCTGTTGGAGACACAAACAAAAATCCACTTCTTATGCTTGAGTTTGAACAAATTCTTATAAACAAAAAATGCAATACAGTGTAATAAAATGGGGGAAATACAGTCACCTCTGGAGAGAGGTGCTTTATCTATCCCCATTCTACAGATGAGGACATTGAGGATGAGATGAAGATTCACTTCAAACTCTGTTTTTTCTTTCTTTTTATTTTATTTTTAAGATTTTATTGGGAAATTGGGGGAGGGGAACAGTCTTGGGGAATTGGGGAAGGGAACCAGCCAAGTTGTTGTTCTTCAATCTTCGTTTGTGGAGGGTGCCAGTCGCCATCTGGCTTCCAGTAGGCAGCTCATGGCCTCTAAGCTCAAGGTGCTGTGTTCAATCTTAGTTGCGGGTGGGCATAGCCACCATCCCATGCGGGAGTTGAACCAGTAGCCTTGTTGTTAAGAGCGCACCCTCTATTCACTGAGCCATGCAGGTGGCAGTGCAGCTCAAGGTGCCGAGTTCAGTCTTAGTTGCGGGTGGGCGTAGCCCACCATCAAACAGGCACTCTTGTTGTTACACCAGCTGAACCATCTGCTTCCTGTTGGCAGCTCAGCGACAGCTTAGCTCAGTCGCAGCATCACTGGCCCACGTGGGAATCGAATCAGCGGCCCTGTTGCTCAGAGCTCGTGCTCTTAAGCCAACTCTTAACCAACTGAGCCACTCGGCTGGCCCAAACGCTATGTTCTTTCCATTATACTCCTCTGTTTCTGAAAGTAGGACATTAAAACCACTCCTCTGATTCTTAAAAGCCCCGGCTTTCCTTGGGGCTACCCTGTTTCCCTTCTTGCTGTACTCTGGACAGTATTATCCACTCTCAAGACTCAATGAGCAACACGGTCACCAGTTTCTCACATGGGTCAATGAGCTGCGCCTGAGCTGAGCTGCTGCTGAGCTGCCAACAGGTGGCAGGATGGCTCAGCTGGTGAGAGTACGTGTTCATAACAAACGAGGTCCACCCCCCCACCCACAACTAAGATTGAACATGGCACCTTGAGCTGAGGGTCCTCGAGCTGCCGACAGGTGGCAGGATGGCAACTAGACTTGGAGCTGAGCTAGCTGCGCCCTCAACTAAGATTGAAGGACAACTTGGCTGTTCCTCTTCCCCAACAATGTTCCCCTTCCCCAATAAAATCTTTAAAAAAAAAACCAAACAAACATATATATGAGTTCCTGCCACCTTAAAAAGAAAAAAAAAAAGACTCAATAATTATATATTAGTAACTTCCAAATTTTATCTCTAGTCCAGGTTTTTCTACCTAGTTTTCCACCAGAATATCCAATAGTCTAGCTTTCTCCTTTTGGCATCCCAAATTGAATTACTAGCTTTCTCATTAACTGTTCTAAACTTCTTTAATCTAACCCTTTTGGCACCCCTGTGCTATAGTTCCTGTCATTCTCCTAATCATAGAGGTTAAATAGCTTTTTCCTCAGTCACAATTAAGTGGGAGAGTTCGGCTTTTAATCACATGCCTACTATGTTCCAGACACTATAAGCCACTCACCCCTCACCCACTGCCAACACCTAGTACAAGCCATCATTGCCCTGCAGACGACTGCAATAGCCTAACTGGTCTCTCACATCCATAACTTGCTTGCTGCCATTCTCACACAGCAACTAGCGTGATCTTTTTAAAATAAAGTTCTGATCCCATCTCTCCCTCCCTTAATACCTCCTAATGACTCTTAGTTACCAGGTGGCTTTTCCACTGGCACTCAGCATCCTGCTTTACTAGTCTTTCTTTTATTTTTTGGTATTCCAGAATGCTTCATTCTCTCTCCCTCCTCAGCCTTTTGGAAATGCTGCTTTTGCCTCAAATACTTGCCCTATTTAACTCCCTCATCCTTCTCAAATCAACTAAACCTCACTTCTGCGGTTTATCTCTTCTTGTTCCATGTCCCAACTAGACTGAGCATTGTGACTGGAGGTCCCATGTCTGTTTTTGTTGCTTTCTCCCCAGTTCCTAGAACTGTGCCTGGCATATAGGAGGGGGGTCTAAATATATGAAATAATATGGAATGTAGGTCAAAGCAAGGAGATATCACCTCTCACTAACTGGTGCTTAGGCCAAGGTTTAAGACTTAAGATTATGACTAGGTAGTTAAATGAAATGTTTTGTCCTACTAGGAGGATGAAAGAATAAAAACATTAACAATAAATTAGGTGGTGTTTTATCAGTAAATAATGATGAGGCATATCTCTACACTACTGTTCACTTCCACATCTTGACAAAGAATCCTATTTTCTGCTAAGCACTCCAACCCTTTTAATTTCTTAATACATTCAAAATATACAAAAAGACAAGGGAAAAGCCTTTAATTATCTACAATTATATAATGAAATTATTAACAAATAAGAGAATAAAAAGGAATACTTAGCCCCTTCTTGCCATGAATCCAGGATTTAGGAAGCTGACGTACTATTAAAAGCTGAAGCACACCATGAGCATCAAGACATAGAGAATTTGTGGTATTTCCTTCAATTCAGTGATATACGGCAGTCGGACAATTAAGTTATCATATGTGTCCACATGATGGAAACAATGCCCACAACTTCTCTACCTAAAATCACCTTCAGAGTCACACCAGAAAATGAGTCTCATTCCTTTACAACCAGAACCCAACAAACCCCTGAAGTGTTTCATTGGGTTTGATACTGAATGACTTTGGATGTTTTAAATCTTGAAAAACATCTACATAAGATGAAGATTTCTGATCATAAAGGATATTTAAAAAATTAGGCCACTAGTTCTGAAGGTCATTCCAAAACAGAAATTTAAAGTATTTTACATTCTTGGAAAAAGTGTCTATACAAAGTCCCTTTGGATGCATAAATGTTGTCACTTTTAGGGAAAACAATCTAAGTGCTCCGCAGTCAGGCAGTTACTCTCAAAAGCAACAGGGCAGATAGCAACAGCTCAGTTTGCCACACAGTCACCATGTCCTGGAACACCCTTCCCATTTTTCTCCTCTAGAGCACCTTGTGGCCAAAAAGCTGTATGAGGTCACTGACAAGATTTAGAGCAATGCGCGGTAGGCAGTGTTTGTAGCTGAAGCTTGAGCAGTTTTCGAGCTGGTGAGGGATCTAATTGTTGTGTGCTTCTCTTCCCTGCAGAGGCAAAAAATAAATTTCAATTGAATGCAAATAACACTTATTGAAAACTTCCAGTATGGACACTGTGCCAGACACTAAATAGCGTTACAATGACAAATAAGAGTCTCTGTCCTCAAGGAGATGACAGCCTGATGGGAAAGCCAGCAGCCAACTACAACCACAAGACAAAGTGCTAAGGAAGAAAATGAAGGTATGCATAGCAATAACTTAGGGCTGGGGTGGGTCAGAAAAAGCTATGGAGAGATACCGTCAGTGTCATTCAGTGGATTCTTGAGGAATGAAGAAGAGGAAAAAGGTAATGGGTATTATTTAGTCTTGGATTTACTAAAACAAGATGGTTTGTGGGGATTTGATTCTTAGTCTAGTGTACTTCTGTGGAATTTACACCCAACTTTGAGTACTGTAATTTACCATGTATAATGCGCTCCCGTGTATAAATCACACCCATGTTTTTAGTCCACACTTTCAGGGGAAAAAAAAATCTTTTAATTTTTTAAAGTTTTAAAAATTAAATGTTTTAATTTTTCAAAGCTTTATTTGTTTACGTTTAGGTACTTGTTTTTTGTATTATAAAGAAACTTTAGCATTTATTTTTAACATATGGTACAATAAATTTTATGTACCGGTAACAAATTTACAATATTTACGCATCATAGAAAGTCAAGAACTTTTCGTTGTTGCAAATTCAACAAAACCAATTATCGTATTCCAGGGTATTATTTTGCACATGAATATCATTATTGATTTCTAGAGTTACACTTTTAACTCATAGGCATAAGTAAAATAATTAAAAACATTTCTATAGATACAGAATCAGTACTACCTATGTACCAGGTCTAACAATTAAGTTTGTGAACTTGTTGCAACGATGTTGCTAACCTTTTTTGGTATCAGAGGGATTATTCATTATGAATTTGGACCAACTGGACAAACAGTTAACCAAGGTTACTGTTTGGAAGTGCTGAAAAGGTTGTGTGAAAAAGTTAGACGACCCAAACTTTTCGCCAACAATTCATGACTCTTGCATCATGACAATGCACCAGCTCACACGGCACTGTCTGTGAGGGAGTTTTGTTTTGTTTTGTTTTTAGCTCAGCCATCCTGCCTCCCACCGGTTGGCAGCTCAACGGCAGCTCAGCTCGGGCCGGACTCAAACCGCTGTTGCTCAGAGCTCGAACTCTTGAGCGAGCTCTTAACCAACTGAGCCACTCGGCCGGCCCTGTGAGGGAGTTTTTAGCCCATAAACAAATAACAGTATTGGAACACCCTCCCTGCTCACCTGATCTGGCACCCAATGACTTCTTTCTTTACCCAAGGATAAAGGAAATATTGAAAGGAAGACATTTTGATGATATTCAGGACATCAAGGGTAATACCATGGCAGCTCTGATGGCCATTCCAGAAAAAGAGTTCCAAAATTGCTTTGAAGGGTGAACTAGGGATTGGCATTGGTGCATAGCTTCCCAAGGGGAGTACTTCGAAGGTGACCATAGTGATATTCAGCAGTGAGGTATGTAGCACTTTTTCTAGGATGAGTTCGCAAACTTAATTGTCACACCTCATATAATGCGCGCCCTTATTTTTCCCTCACAAATTTGGGCAAAAACGTGCGTATTATACATGGCAAAATACGGTACCTACAACATAATAGTTATTGTGAGGGAGGGGGGTGGGGAAGATCACTTGATGTAGGCCTTACTCTGAGGCCATGTGCTTTTAAGAGCAGTTTGTAACAGAGGGGCTATCGCTCTGGTCCCTTCAAAAGATACACTCACCGAGCTGTACAGACACCTTCTGGAGGCACTGGGTACTTTCATCCATAAAGGCATGCAGCTGCCTCACTGATCCTTGCAGTTCGTCCATCTGCAGATGAAAGAAGACAGCTGTGAGCGGAAAGGGTCTGTGGCTTCTTTGATGTCCCTCAAACACACCAGGCAAGCGCCTGCTGGGGAGCTTTGCTTTTGCTATTCTTTTTTTTAAAAAGATTTTATTGGGAAATTGGGGGAGAACAGCATTGGGGAATCGGGGTAGGGGAATAGACAAGTTGTTGTCCTTTTTTGTTCTTCAGTCTAGTTGTGGAGGACGTTGCTTCACTGGCCCATGTTGGTATTATCATTGTGCTCTTCCTGGGTGAGGCAGATCGGTTGCCGGTCACTGGATGGGCGCTCACGGTGGTTCTTGGAAGCTCACCCTGGCTGCTGGCCGCTCATGCCAGCTGCCAGCCACTCATGGTAGCTTATGGCAGCCCACTGCAGCAGGGGCTGCAACCTATGCCGTCGCTGGTGACTCATGGCATCCCAGCTCCAGGTCGAGCTGTTGTTCACCATCTTAGCTGTAGAGGGCGCAGCGTCACTGCCCACATGTGGGATCCAAACTGGGGCCCTGCTGCTCAGAGCTGGCGTCCCAAGCCAACTCTTAACCAACGCACCACTCGGCCGGCCCTGCTTTTGCTATTCTTTAAGCCTGGAAGGCTTATGAGAGGCATTTTCTGTTTGCTCCTCCACTCCTCCATGCTGCTCTCTGCCCAAGAAGGCTGACCTGGATAACCTCGAACAGGATCCTGTGTCCTGTGGCTTCTGGGTGGGTTTGGTCAAGAGGAAGCCCAAGTGGAAGGCAGCCGAATGAGGTCAGAGTATTTTTACCCAGGCCTGCTCCGGGAAGGATGATCGCGAGTTAGCTGTGACTCTCAACTGAAGGTCATGGCTCTCAGAAAGCAGCCCACCATGTGCCTTTCTCCCACCAGGTGCCACAGTAACTGTTCCTCCCCTGCTCCCTTCAGGCCTATGGGTAGGAAGAGCTCAGCTGCCTCTAAGCCCCAGGTTACTTCACTAACCCTTGTGGTTTCCCAATACCCTACTTTATACATAGCCCCTTTATAAATAAACTCTCCTTGAATTACCCTTTATCAACTGCTTCCTGTTAATACTTGGAATGATACAATACTATTCTCTGAAATGTCCCCATGGCTCAATTCCTCATTTCTTTCTAGTATCCTAAAATGGCACCTTAGAGGGACCTTCAACAACTGCTCTATGTAGTAACCTGCTGCCCTGCCTGTACACTCTCTTCCTTACCCTGTTTTACCAGCACTTATCACCATATAGCTATTTATTTGTCTTTCCATGTTTCACCAAGGCAGAGTTAAATCTACTTATCTCATCTCATTACACATATTCTCCAGGTCTTTTCATTTTCAAGGATGACAAAGTAGCAAAGTTAGATAACCCAACCAAATGAAAACATGAGTCAACTCACCATCAACTCCATGTAATCAAAGACTTTGTTCTGGTTCTGTAGTATTTTCTGGTAGTCAGGCTTTGTATGAAGGACTTCACTTTGGGAAGACCCAAGATATGCTGTAGGTTCCACCTCAACTTCAGTAATTTTGGTTTCAGTTGATCCTCTAAAAACAAATTAAAAAAAAAAAAAAAGAGCTTTCAAGAAATGTTATCATTTTCTGGAGAAGTTATGAAAGATTACCTAGGGAAAAAACCTCCAATAAGACTTTGTTGACCTGAACCAATATTCTTCCACCCTACTGTAGGTATAGGCTCTCTTAATAACAAGGGAGTCTGAAACAATTATCCATTATCGATGTTTTTTATACCACTGGACTCCAGGAGATGCTAGAAGCTTCATGTCAGTTGACTCCACCAAACAGGAAGGTCCATTTACAAAAAGGATTATCGTTGGCGTAAAGCCAAAGCTTGCCATCCTGAAGTCAATGTCTATTATCTTTCACCTCTCCCCCCAAAAAATATGCTGGGACACTTTAATTATCTATAAAATTGAATATGATGGAGTTTAAGAAAACTAATGATAACTCTTTAATAACTACTACAATTTATCGAATGCCAGACACTGCTAAGCACTTTCCATTTAACCTCATTTAAAACTCACAACAACCCAATGAGGTAGGTACTAATATTATCACCATTTTCAAATGAAGAACTTATGGTTTAGAGATTAAGTGGCTTGCCCAAGATCACACACAGAATGAAGCAGTAATCAGGATTTGAACAGAAATAGTCCGCTTCCAAAAGCTTTCCTCTTAACCAATAAGCTATGTCACATCAAAAGTTTTTATTGAAACTGCCATCTTATATATTATCTATCTTCATAAACACAACATGTAAGGGGTAAATAAAGTAACTGATAACCATCAATGCCTGGACTGGGGAAGTTTTTCAAACCATGTTTCTCAAAGCACCTCTCTACTAAGAGGCCACTTTTGCAATTAGGGTTTTGGCTAACATTTTATGGTTGGGTTTCTAGCTAAGATTCTGTTTGGAAAAAAGCTTAAAATCATTGGCTTAGGTAGTGAACTAAATCAAAACCTAGCATTTTTCCATTCTCTTAAGCCTTCAAGACCTAGACAAAGATCCTCTCTCCTGTACGGCCTCTTCCATCACCCCCTTTCATGTCTTTTCATCTCCATGAAAGCCCTGGAGATGCTCCCACACTTGCCACGCACTCACTGAAGTCCACATGCTCACTGCCAAGTCCCCTGACTATTGTTTATGGCCCAGCCCCAAGCTGCCAGGTAGAGGGCAGAGATGTACCTGTCTCCCCCAGGATGTGAAACAGCAGCCAAAGACACAGAAGAGGCAATTCTATTCTTGGACTGAAAATACTGACACCACTCTCCCTTCCTTCTCCCAACTCTCCATTCAAGGTCAGAGAGTGCTAATGTACAAATTACAGAGCTTTGATGGGCTGATTGGCCTGTGAGAAAATATTTGTCATTCAACTTGTGCTAACAGAACTAAAATCAATTCAAATCAAATTCTACAAGGTAAAAAGACAGCTTCCAATCTAACCTGGATATGGTCTCTTCAGCTTCCTTCTGGTAGCTCAGCAAGAGTTGATCCCAAGCCTGACGTTCTAAAGAAAATCTATAGAACCAGAAAAAAAAAATTCAGTTAATTTTTGATGATCTCATTCTGAATCACTCAGGACAATAAGTACATTAGGTGCCTACTCTGGTTCTAAAATGTGAATAAAAAGGTTAATAGAGGATTAGAAATCCTGTCTGACTCAGAGGATACTAATTTAATCAAACCTGAGTTCTTAAAATCAAATTAACATCTTTATTCCCTAGGCTCCATTCTATGAAATTGGCCATCAGTACAGCCCATAAAATCCCAGTACGCAGCTTTCTAACTTTCAGTATTGATATACTACTAGTATTAACACTCAGAAGAGGAAGTTTCTTATTCATTTTCCCAGGTTTAGTTATTTTCCCCAGATGAATTTAGATTTTCCAACAAAGGTTCACTCATTTTCACTTACTTTGTTATATATTCCTTCATCTCAGCCACTGATGTTTCCAGAGACGAATCTGATGCTTTTCTGGAATAGAGATAGGATTACAAGATTAACACAAATCTTTCAAGAGCACTTGCTTTTAATATGACATCTTACATAATTTTAATGGCAATAAAACAGGTTTAGAATCTATTTTTCAACAAATATTTATTCTTGAACGCTTATCTCACTTTTACACTAGGTCTCTTTATCTTTTATTTCTGGCATCAATTCCAATTCACACATGTCCAGATTAGCCTTTGTTAATATATTCTTTTCATTTTTCCCCTTGCTTAAAAACCATGTGACCTTCTACTGCATTCAGAAGAAAAGTCAAAATTCCTTAATTGGCACTTAAGAACACTCCATGTTCCTGCTCCATCCAACTCTTTAACTTTGATTGCTACTGTTACCTTTTATCTATTTTGTCCCATATAATCCCACTCATCCTGACCCAAAATATCTGGGCTTTTCAATCTCCAAACTTTTGGTCACATCATTTTTTTTTATTGGGGAGCAGTGTGTTTTTCCAGGACTCATCAGTTCCAAGTCAAGTAGTTGTCTTCAATTTAGTTGTGAAGGGTGGAGCTCCTTGGCCCATGTGGGAATCGAACCGGCAACCTTGGTGTTATGAGCCTGCGCTCTAACCACCTGAGCTAACCTGCCGCCCTGGTCATATCATTTTTTTAGTCTCCTCCCCTCTCACTAATCAAAACCTTAACATCTTTTAAGGCCCAATAATACTTTTTCATGACTATCTTGTCTTCCCACTTAAATTGAAGCTATTGCTGGAGTGGAGTTATGTTTTACTTACACCAATGGCTCAGCTCAGTTGGGTGATTATCCTAATGGAAAAGAAGCAGGCACTGAAAATGCCAAAATTTTGCAGATGTACTCAGTACTCCACCTGGCAAAGACAAATTAGTTGTGCCACCGTTCATGTTTTTCTATCAAGGCCTGTGACACACAGCCTTTACCACTGCTGGCTGAGGTGCAGCAGTCAGTGGCTAAATACACTGTATTAAAAGGGATGCTATGTTGAGCCAAAATAGTTTTCATTTCCTAAATAACAATGTCAATTCTAAGGATCTGTAGAAAAATAGACTTCTACAAAGTCAAAACTAAAAAGTTTATGATGTAAACTCTAATGAAATGATTTGTTGCAGAGCAGGAGGTAGAGGGTTGGGTTCCACCTTTGTATAGAAAATACAAGTTTAAGGGTGGGATTTCTAAATTTCTCCTAATAATCTTGCTGGTCAACAGCTAAAGAACATAAGTTTATCTCCAACTTGCATAGCTAGCAAAGATCTGAAGAATGCTTTTCCTTTCATCTTCCCATGGCTGGTTCCTTCTCACCATTCAGGTCTTATAGGTCTCAGACCAAAGGTCAATTATTAGATGTCTTCTCTGAACCCTAGCTAAACCATCCCCTTAAGTCAGTATCATTATTAACTGACTTCTTAGATTACCACTATCTTAAAGCATCATTTTCTATGTATTTGTCTCTCTTATTAAAATGTATTAGAGAGACCTTGTGAAGCGGCCAGTTAGCTCAGTTGGTTAGAGCGCAGTGCTCATAACACCAAGGTTGCTGGTTCGATCCCCACATGGACCACTGGGATGCGCCTTCCACAACTAGATTGAAACAACTACAAATGATAAAAGTCTTAATTCAATAATTTAGGACAGAAGGGGAACTGAACTTACCCTTCTGACTCTTCAAAACACTTCTGTAGAGTTCCATTACTTTCCAGTTTGTCTGCAAAAAGTTTTAATTCTTCAGAAAGAGAAGATGCTAGAGAAAATAAAATTACATGTTATAAAGAGAATATAAATTTTCACAGCAAGCCGCTGACAAAGAAATAACACACTTCAGGTGGTCTCAGCTCCAGGATCCTGTTACATTGTGGCTCTCTCACTCATTCAAAAAAGTGGAATAAATATGAAGAAACATTTCATCTTTTTTCTTTGGGTAGGTATAGATAAAATGGAAGACAACTCCTCTGTGACATTTATTGATAGTGTTTTTTATACCTGACTGGTGAAAAAGCACGTAAAAAGGCTTATCTGCACTGACATTTCATTTTTTCCAAGAGATTTGAACTGCTGGCAACCGAAAGGAAATATATTATTACAGAAGTCAGGCAACAGGCAAGAGTGTAATGAAAAACGCTGAAGGCAAATAAAGAATTATAGGCATAAAGTAAAAACAGTTCTCTGCTTATACCTGGAAGAGTCCACAATTACATTCAAGTGAAGAATGCAGAGGGGAAAGGATATGTTAAATAGCTATCAAGGGGGGCCGGCCAAGTGGCGCGATGGTTAAGAACTCGCTTGGGATGCCAGAGGGCCCCGGTTCGGATCCCACATATGAGGGCCAGTGACACTGCCCTCCACAGCTAAGATGCTGAACAACAGCTCAACCTGGAGCTGGGCTGCCGTGAGTCGCCGGCGACGGTGTAGGCTGCAGCCCCTGTGGCAGTGGGTTGCCATGGGCTACCGTGTGTAGCCAGCAGCCGCAGTGAGCGGCCAGCAGCCGCAGTGAGCGGCCGTCCAGAAGCCGGCGACTGATCTGCGTTGCCAGGCAAGAGCGCAATGATGGTGCCAACTTGGGCCAGTGAAGCAACATCCTCCACAACTAGATTGAAGAACAAAAATGACAGCATCTTGTATGTTCCCCTTCCCCCAGTTCCCCAGCACTGTTCCCATCCCCCCATTCCCCCCCCCCAAAAAAAAAGCTATCAAGGTAACCTTGACACATCTACTCTAATTATGGTGATGACCCAATTCTGAGATAAACAATTTTTACAAGTAAGTCCAAGTTCATGTATTGGGTTGTCGGAAAAGTCATGACGTTATTTTTTCTATGTTTTTCATTGCAAAAATGCATCATGACTTTTCCAACAACCCAATATTTTCTAGATCTTTTTAAGTTGGTAACATCAAGTATTCTGACCCTAGATAATTGTGTAGTTACACTATAAGAATAGCTACTTCCCAGAAAGCTGAAAATTGATTCCTGGGAAAGAATATTTGTAACTTATGTCATAAACAGATAATTTTCTTACTATATAGAGTTCCTACAAATCAATATAAAAGAGCAAAATTGCCAATTTTCAAAAATGAACAAAGGATAAGAACAGAAAATGAAGCATTTATGGTTCTACAAAATATGAAAAAATGCTTCTTCAAAAAAAAACACAGATTAAAACTACAAAACACTTTTATCTCCTATAAAATAGTAAAAAACCTGAATTGTTTGATAAAACTGTTGGTGAGGATGAGAAAACAGGTACTTATATATAATGCTGGAGAGAATAAAATGCTACAACCTTTCTGGAAGGCAATCTGATATTTCTTACCATTTGACCTATTGAATGCCAAGTCTAGGAATTTATCTATTTTTTTCAAATTAAAGTTTATTGGGGTGACAATTGTTAGTAATATCTTATTTTTACTTGCATATGTGCCAAAAAGCTTGTGTGAAAAGGTATTCATTATCCTATTCATCATAATAGCAAAAGAATGAAAACCCTAAAAGCTCATTAATAAGCGATATGGAATAATCTGCAAGATAAACTGTTAGGTTAAAAAAAAACAGACAAGGTAAAGAACAGTGCAGAGAGTATTATTTATTTGATTTTAATGTATAAAAAATATTTTCAGGGCCAGCCAAGTGGCTCAGTTGGTTAAGAGCTCACTCAAGAGTACAAGCTCTGAGCAACAGGGTTGCCGGGTTGCCGGTTCGACTCATGGCCCGAGCTGAGCTTCCAACAGGTGGCAGGATGGCTGGGGGGTGGGGGGGTTTCAAATGCCCAATAGTATCTCTTCAATGATACACAAGAAGCTGTGGCAATGGTTGCCTCTGTAGAAAAGAGCTGAGTCTGGGGTTTGGGGTGGGAGGCAGACTTACTTTTTTCTTTTATACCTTCTTAATTAGCATACATTATTTTTTTAAATGCAATTCCGGAAAAAAAAAAGGGGGGGGGTAGGGGTTGGTTTTATGATGTAGCAGCTCCTGTAAATGGGGAGCCTGAAAGTGGGCTTTTTATCTGACTTTAACAGAAGGTACAGCTCAAGGTCAAAGCTCACTTGTCTATTCTTAGCAACTTACCTTTGGCTCTAAAACTTTCAAGATTGAAGCCCTCAGTGTCCCTTAGGAAAGGTTCAAGTTTCTGAACAGAGAACTAAATAAAGAAAAGCATTTTCAGTACAACAACCAAGATTGGCCAGTCCCAATGAAGTTCATGTAATTTTATGTTTAATAAATGTAAAAGTAAACTCAATTCAATTTTTGTACCTAAGATTTTTCATATAAACAAATAAATAGATTAGGAAAAAACTTTGTTGGTAAGATTATACGTTTTGATTTTGGGTTCTAAAAAAAAAAAAAGGTCATTTACTTCACACAAATGGACTTGCTTATCTAAATTCATGTAATCACCAGTTAGCCATATAATACCAACTTAGTATGTCAGACCTCAAATATCTGCTTTAACTTAGATTTTGAACTCCACCCACTTTAAATTCCCATCATTTGCTGCCAATAGGCAGAAGATATTAGATTTGGGAAATCTCTCAGCTACTCAGTCAGCAGCAGCCTAGTCCAGAACAAAATCAGCTGCTAGGATTAACTCTGGTTTTTAAATTAATCCCAACTAGAGAGAAACATCTTTTAATCTTAACAGACGCCATCGCACAGCATTGATCTCTCTTTGGGACTATCAGAGTAATAGTTTAAAAAAACAAAACAAAGAAAGCATTTCCCAATCCCGAGAATCTCACCTGGAAACTGGAAACCAGGAGACTGCCAAGTCGTTTGCTTTCCATTAAGTTGATGCTGATGGATCTGCTTAGTTCTAACATAAAATATCATCACTTTTAAGGAACTGGATACTTACAGTTAGCAAACAACAACAAAAAAACCCGGACAATTTTCCTCCCTCTCAATGCAGTCCAACTTACAGCAAGAAGGCCCAAGCATTCTTCTTTAATTAAAGGGAGAATTCATATATACTCACTTCTGATTTTTTAAGGATCACCAAGGAATGAAATTTGTGCATCGTAACTTAAAATTATGAGAACCTTTTATGCATTAAAGTCTTATCTTGTTAAACAAGACACATAAATAATTTAACTTTTTTGTGTGTTTTATATTCACCATTCAAAGAAAGGAGATGGGAACATTTGAGCATTTTTATGACAGGCCCTGCAGTGCTCTTATTGTCATACAAGTCCTCTTATAAACTATGACCTCCGTTTTACAAAAAAACAAAACAAAACTGAAGCTCAGAGGGGAGATGACTTGTGTGAGGCCAGAAACGGGTGAAGCAAGATTTCAATCCTAAGTCTGTCACCAAAACCTGTGTTTTTCCCAGTAATGCCATACTGTCTTTCTATAACCTAATAACATTAATAGCAATTTGTGGAACACTTGCTATGTAAAAGGCTTTTTATTAAATGCTATACACACCTCATTAAAACTTGAGGCAAGTATCTTATCAATTCCATTTTATAGATGATGACACTGAGGCACAAAGCCGGGGTAATAGGTAACTTGCCCATGGTCACTCGGTGAGTCAGCCTGAATTGGATGGGCACTTTACATAATTATGCCCCCGAATCCTCAAAGAATTACAAAATGTAGATACTTTTTTCAATTATGTCCATTTAAAAACATCAATTATTATTCAGCAAAGAAGTTTGCTTTGAAAATTCGAGAGATACATGTCTGTTGGTCCTCTAGCTTCAGCTGGTTGTGTTTTTAAAGTTCTTTTGTCTCCTCTCTTGATTACTTCTTATTGCTGTCAGTCAAAAAAAGCAGGACACCTTCTGCCTATAACCAAAGAAATCTGGCGCGTGGCCAAGAATAAGCGGGGTAACCAATCATATTACTTCAGTGATTTCTGTTATACAGAATTTTAGGTCCACATGCTCTGGAATAGAGATGAAGGCAGGGGTAATCTTAGGGATCTGCTGATGTTTTCTTGGCACACCTATGGAATAAAGTGCATGAGCATAATTGAGCAGCAATTTTCTGATACGCTAAATGGCTGTTTTTACTCGGATTGCCTGTTAGATATCAGGCCATCTGTGGGTGAGGTAATGTCTTTAAAATAATCACATAGCATAACATTTGAGTTATCTACTTACTCTGTGCCAAGTACTGTGTTACATATCAATTCATCTAATCCTCACACAGCCCTGTAAAACAGGTATAATTTCATCCCATTTACTGATGAAGACCATAAGGCAAAGGAGGTTAAGTAACCTGCTTTAGGTCACATAGCTAGTAAGTTTTGCCTAAAACATGCTAGCCTTTCCACATTTAATCTTGTACTTCAATGCTTATGGAGATGTAATTATTATTGTAAACTCACACAAAATCATTCAAATATGGCGTGTCTAAAAACTTGGTTTTCACTCTAGATGTTCTTATGTGCATCTTCCCTCTGAGATATTTTCAGTTTTAAAGCCTAAAATCAGGTAGCAATCCATCTACCTTCTGTTCCACTTTAAGATATGAGGCAGAAAGCCACAGGAAGAAATCTTTAATGGCTCTCATCCCAGCAGAAGTGAGCGCTGAACAATTGTAAACCAGAATTTTTGTTCATGGTATAGAGTACAACAGGCAGCTAATACTATGACATAAATAGCAATAATAGTGAACATTTAGTAGGTGTTTGACATTGTATTTATAATCTCAGAATGTCTCTCTTACAGATAAGGAGATTGAGGCTCAGAGAGGTGATGTGACTTACTTAGTCACATAGCTATTAAGTAGCAAAGTCAAGTCTGTCCAACTACGCTTTCTGCCATACCTCTTATCTGAGCTGCAACGCCACTGTCTTATGTATAGAGCATCCCACCTGTGATGCCCTGATGAAATGGAGGCAGTGACTTCCGCCGGTTCATTCCCTTCATACTTGCTCGCCGCCAGGATTGCCTCCTGTCTTGAGGATGGGCAGACGGTTCTTGGGGGGACAAATGAAGGGATGTGGACTGAAGTTCTTCCTGGTGGCTGAGGTCACAGCTTCCCTCTTTTTTAGGGTTAGAGCCCAGGTGAATTCTTTCCTTTGAAACGCCTGGAGTCATCTCCAGGGGAGTAGATGATTTATCACACATTTTTACAGGGCTGGGATCTAATTCCAATTGATGATCATGAGTCTTAGAAGTCACTGGTTCCTCTTCGAGCACTTGTTATAAAAAAAAGTCAAAATACAAAATCAAACCCACCACAGTTAAGTACCTGTGCAAAAAGGCAGAAAATGTATAGCCCAGATCATAGAAACACATGATCTGTGTACCTGTGCAAAAAGGTGGAAAAAGAAAATGTATAGCACAGATCATGGAAACACTCAGGAAGCACCTGTGCGAATATGTGACTATGTAATTCCAACACCACCAAGTGCTTTGAAACCATTTGGGTAAAGCTGAGAAACCGGAAACCAGAGCAAAAGGTACTGAATTTCACTATAATACTTACCTTCTACAGTCTCTGATCTAGTCTCTGAAGTCATCCTGGATAGAGAATCCTGAAAATAGGAAAATCAGGTGATCTGTTCCCCACATTTTAGCCCCCGTCTCACTGGGGCTTTACTACCCTAAAATAGGCCTTTTGTTGTCCACCTTCTCTGCACTGCCCATCTCTGCCTCATGAAATTTACCTACCTGACAAGGCCCAGCCCAATGCCACCTCACCCACCACCTCCACAGGCTATCAGCTGGGTTCATCACCTTCTGTTCTGAATTTCTACCGAACTTATCACTAGAAATACTCCTATCTCCTTTAACATATATCCTATTTCCCAATTATTTTGTGTTTAACTAGTTCCTAATCCCCTAATTCAGTTGATGATGGCCTTATGATCTACATGGTCTTCCAAACTAGAAAAATCACATCATCCTTTACTTTTTATTAACTATCCAGAGCCAAACTTCTGTCCATTCTACCTCCCACAGTCTCTCTAAATCTCTTTTTAAATTGATTGAAGTAACGTTGGTTATAACGTTATATACACTTCAGGTGTACAATTTTACAATACGACATCTGTATACTCCACTGCGTGCTCACCATCTGAAGTCCAGTCACCTTCCGTCACCATATTATTTGACCCCCTTTACCCTCTTCGTCCTGGTAACCACCATTCTGTTGTCCGTGTCTATGAGTTTGTCTCTCCACCATTTCAAGTTCCTTGTTTAATTTGTCTCATGAGTTACCTACCACCCTCCTCCTCCTTCCCCCAATAATCTACAGCCTCTCCACTAGTTTTCCTAGATCCGGTACTGCTCCTCTAGCCATTCTTCAGACAGCAGCGAAGATGTTTCCAGGGTACTCAAAACTTTTCATAAGCGAGTCCCACTCTAGCCATTCCTGCTCTCCCGCCACTGCCTTTCCCTGCACCACATTTGAATCTTGGCACACACGGCCCGTATAACTTATTCCTCTTCCCCGACCTAGCTCAAATGTGACGCTTTCACACCACTTCTTTGGCAGAGTTGGTCGCTCCGCCCTTTGGTCTCCCTAGCACCGGCTGTCAAGTCTGTTTAACATGTCTGTCTCCCCAGCCAGACTCTATTTGTATTCTTAGTGCCTGTCACCGACGACTGACTGGAAGAGTCAGGCATTTTTACATCTGCCATGCTCACTCCTGCCTCCCAGGAGAAATCTGTATTGGGGTGTGTGTGGGGGGGAGGGCGCTTAGTAAAGAGAAATGACTCTATGTGGAGGGACAACATGGAAAAGATAACCGAACAAGAACGGGTAGGTTAAGGATCTAAATCCCCAGTTAGGTCTGTTATCTGATTCAAGCCTAGCTAATAACAGCAAGAGCTGCCATTTGTTAAGCTGCTTATTAAGCACTTATTACACGCCAAGATCTGTGTTATATGTAAGCGCTTTATTTGCATCATTATCTCATCATGCCAATTAATCCTTTCCTCGGCTCCCTAAGTACTATCATTCATCCTTCTTGCAGATAGGGGAACTGACGTTCAGAGGGCAAAAGCCTGGCGGAGGCTTGTTACGCAGCCAGTCAGGACAGAGGTAAGATTCGAACACGGGCCTGTGACCCACCCCGACCCTTCAGCCACTCAATGTTCAGGAGTCTAGACCGCTGGCTCTGCAAAAAGGCCTAGCGACGCAGCCGGCCCTCGGGTTTCCTTTCACCCAGAGGAAGAGGCAGCGCCTCGGGGCACCCCCAATGCCCGCTGTCGGGGGTGTGACCAAGGGTATGGGCTGGGCGGAGGTCCGATGCCCAAGAGGCTGTTGCGGGAGTGAATGGGGCCGTGTCCGGCGAGAGATACGCGACTTCCTGACCTCAGAGCGACGCCTGTCCAGCCTGGAACCCCGTTCCTGAAATAAAAAGCCACAGGTCATTCTCCGTGGCCACACGTTACCTCTGGATCCCCTGCGCCACTGGGCCTCTCCTTCCAGGTCTGCACCCGGCGCGGCGTCCGCGGACCACGCCCCGCGCCACGGCCTCCGCTTCCGAAACTCCCGCCAACTAACAGCGCATGTGCGGCCGGCGGCCTCCCAGGTCCGCGCGCGCAGAGGAGCGGCCTCCCTCAAAGCGCATGCGTAAACTGGTATCCAACGCTCTGCCAGCCCCGCCCCCGCGTCCAAATCTTGTTCCGCCCATAAGTGGTCACGTTACCACCTCTCCAGCTATGTCGTTCCGTCTTGGGATCTGCCACACAATCGTGGGATTTTGCACCCCAGCGACCCAGAGCCCATCCGAAATGGAGAAACAGAGCCCCAGAGAGGTACTTGCCAAAAGAATCCGGTCCATCAGCGGGCATCGGAAGCTCTGCCCCTGTCGCTAGGCCAGGATTCCTTCTCCCTATACCTGAACGGCAAAAATGAGGACCGTGACCCGCCCAGGGGGAACTGGAGCTGTGTGCTCAGTTTGCTTCATTCTCCTTCTTCTCTAGCACTTTTTCTCCTGTGGCCCTTTCAATACATGGCAAAGTTCAAGAACTCTCGTTTGCAGCCTTATTGCAGGCCACCCTTTTCCTAAACTGCTTGCTGCTCCTCTGTCCACCCCCCATAGCTTCTTGCCTCTGCTCCTTTTGATAGCTATTCCCTCTGCCTGGGAAACCCTTCCCTGCTTTTTCCTGACAAAATTCTCTAATTTTAAGCCTCAGCTGAGGCTTTCTCTCTCTCAGGGCCTTCTGTGAGGTCCCAGGCTGAAAACAAGATGCCCCTTCTTGTATGTACTCCCAAGAGCCCAGTTTGTGCCGTCCACTATCCCTTGTTGGCCCCAGAGAGCTGGCTGCTTCCTCACCACCCAGCATGCCGCCATGAAAATGTTCCCTTGCGTATGTGATTCTCTTTCTGAAGCCTCCAAATGTTGAATTATGAACAGTCCACAAAGTCTGCTCATAAAGAGAGGTTAGAGAGCGGCAGCTCTGTGGTCATCCTTCCATAGTAGCTGTAGTCCTTGGAAATTTTTCCTGATGGGAGACAAAAATCTGTCTTCCTTAAATTTCCATCCTGTGGTCCCAGCATGCTGGATTCAACAACCATCTGAAAGCAGAGATTTGCCTTTGGTTTCCTGAATGTCCATTTCTGGGGCTCAGTGGCACCCAGTTCCTTCTATGTCTGTCCCCCTCCTTCAACTCCTCATTTGGCAATGTCCCAAGCACAGAACACAATATTCTCCACCAGGGCTGGCCATCCTGAAGCACAGTGAGAATACAGCCTCAGTGAATTCAGATCCAATACTTTGACTATTGCCCTGCTTTTAAATACTTCCATGGCTCCCTACTGTCCACAGAATGTGGACATTTGTTTCCTCATAAGGCACTGATCTGACCCAGCTTTTTCTTTCATCATTCCCCACTTAGTGACATCAAACTTGTTCTAGTTCCCCAGTTCTACTCTGCTCTCTTTCTAGCACACTTTCACACATGCTGTTTCCTCTCTCTGGAACCATCTCTTCTCATTTTCTTGTCTACAACACACCACCATCTCCTTCATCTGGTCAACATCTCAACTTTAGATGCCAGTTCAGATGTCCCTTCCTCTGTGAAGCCTTTACTGATTTCTCTTGGCTCCCTGAGCACCCTGGGCTCCCCCCTGCCATTGACATTTGCTTTCCTGTCTTTCAGGCCCATCTATTGTGTCCTCAATGCCTAATACAGGCCTGGCTGTTGTCAGGTCCTCAAAAATGAAGAGATCTATAGAATTTTTATGTGGTAGCTAGCTTCCAAGATGGCCCCCAATGATCCCTGCCTTCTGGTGTTCATGCCCAATGTAGTCCTCTCCCACAGCGCACAAGGCTGATCTTCATAACCAGTAAGGTACTGCAGAAATGATAGCGTGTGATTTTCAAGGTTTAGTCATAACAGACATTGTGACTTTTCCCCTGCTGTCTCATAGATCACTTGCTCTGGGGGAAGCTAGCCGCCATGTTGTAAAGACACTCAAGCAGCCCCATAGAGAGGTCCACATGGGAAGGAATGGGGGCCTCCTGCCAACAGCCAACACTGACTTGCCAGGCACATGAGCCACCTTACAAATGGATCTTCCAGCCCCAGTCAAGCTTTGACTGCAGGCTGACTGACACCTTCCTGCAACCTGTTGAGACCCTGAGTCAGAACTACCCAGCTCCTGGATTCCTAACCCACTGCATCTATGACATAATAAATGTTTTGGAATAATTAATTTTACTGTAATAGATAATTAACCCATGTCTAAAGTGTCCTTTTTTTTTTCCCCTATCATCAATTTTTAAGTCTTTTGTAGAAAAGTTCAATTCCATTTTTGAGCACTCTGCATTTGTTTCTCAGTAGTCATATCACATTTAGGGGAGATTCTGAAGCATCAGCAGTCAGCAGCAGGAAACACCTGGTGGCTCCTCCCAAGTGACCCCCCAAACCAGTCAGCTGGCTGTGGCAGTCCCAGGTTTCCCTCCTTTCCAGGGAACTGGGGGTGGGCTAGAGTCAGGTTTCAAATCGGCTGGGAGCTTTCCCCACCCCACAGGAGAAATCAGAAGAGGCCAAGTCCATGGAAACTGTTCATATGACATACTTTATTTCCAATCTACAACCATTAAAAACCCTTTGTAAGTTTACACTGTACAGTTATTCTCATGTCAAAATAAGACACGGGGTGGGCGGCAGGGAGAGTTGATGGACAGGACCACAGTCGTCCTAGCACCCAATCCATCCTGGGAAGGAGCCTTTTGAAGACAAGAGCGGGGAGGAGATGACAGTGAGTAGGAGAGGTGGACAATTTGGCCCAAGGATGCCCTTGGTCCCTTCCCTCCTCAAGGCCTTTCCCTGGGGGTCCCCTAGGGCCCACAACTGCAGGACCCTCACCAGGAAACCAGGCTGAGCAGGAAGGGGGCTTCACAGTATTGGTGGGTGTTGCGGGGGAGGGGCAGATGAGAAAGAAGGACAACTTCTGGCTCTCTTCCTCAGTCGCTAGTGGTTGGAGCCATTTGTTTTTTTTTTTGGCACAATCTACAAGGTCTCCCTGGAGGTGGGAGGAGGAAAAGGAGGAACTGGGGATCTAGGATTCTTTTCTTGAGGAGTTTGGTTTCTTTCCAATTGAAGAGAGGCTATGAGCCTATGGTGAGGTTCCCAAGGGACAAATAAATGGTCAGGGTCTTTTGTCTCCTGCCCCACAGGGCTCCCACCCCCTGCCTGGCTGGCACAATCCTACACAATCTTTTGCAAAATCCAGGTAAGTGGGAAAGGTGAGCAGAGCTGGAACCAAGCCAGGGGCAGGGAAAGGAAAAATGTATGCCTTCTTCCTGCCCTCCTGCTTCCAGGAAGAGAATAGTTTTGATTGTTTTATCTTGGGGGGCAAGTGGGGAGAGTTCCCAGTCTCTCAGGCATCGGGGAGTCGGTGCTTCCCACCTGTTCCAGGTCTGGGCCAGCCTCAGCCCCTCACAGGGCTGCACTAATTGCTAACATTGGTCAGCAGTTGACAAACTCATCTTATATCAGAATCACCCAGAGCGCTTGTTAAATACCAGCTTGCTGGGCCCTAAGCCGGAAGTTCGAATTCTGTAGGTCTTAGGTGGTGCCAATACTTTGCATTTCTATCGAGTTCCGAGGTGATGCCCTAGCTGCTTTGATAACCTTCTCATCCTCAACAACCTGGTGCCCCGAGGCAGTGCCAGGAAGCCGGGCCACAGCTGGCAAGGCCCAGCCCTTAGGGGCACCAAATGCCTGGAAAGCTACCAGGAATAGTCTCGTGGTGAGTCCCCTGTGCAGAGAAGTAAACTAAGGCACAGAGATCAGGGGCAGAACTAAACCAGGAGCCAGGATACCAGGGTCCAGTGGAAAAAGGATGGTAACACAGGACCCCAAAACACAAGGGGTGCCTGGGGCCCTAGGGATCATCTGGTGTTAATTATAAAACCATACAACCAGCTTAACTCAGAGATGAGGTCTGCGCAGACCTGGGTCAGGTCTCCAGACTCCTGGCTGAGTTCCTCTTCACGGGTATATTGGGTTGTCGGAAAAGTCACGACGTATTTTTTCAATGCTTTTCATTGCAAAAATGCTCATGACTTTTCCGACAACCCAATAGTGTGAGTGGTGTCAGAATGGAGTGTAAACAAGGAAGCCAGGTCCGACTCCCTTGGCCCTTCAAGGATGCTTACAGGAAAATGAAGCTCCTTTCCTTGGGGCCTGGAGTCCCAAAGGCTGGTGAAGGGCAGGAAGAGAGGGGAGCAGAGTTAATGGGACAGACAAGGGAGGGTCCAAGGAGGGTGAGGGAGGAGTGGGAAGAAGCCTTGGGCAGGGGACTCAGGCCCAGCATCATGTCCCCTTTGTTTCTTGGGTCTGTGGACTTTGCAAACTGCAAATGGTGTTGGCAGGGGTAAGCGAAAGAGACAGGGTCAGCTACAGGTTCTGCTAGGATGACCTGTTCTGGAGTCGGTGAGGCCCAAGGGACAGCAGAGAGGATGGTGGGATGTCAAATGGACAGACAGATGGACAAATGACCAGGGAGAAAGAACCCAAGCCAGGCTGCATCTCCTTAATCAAGGCCATGCAGGACTGGGCAGGGTAGAGGAGGCCAGAATGGGGGTCCAAGGGCCCACCATCACATACACACTCTCAAAAGAAAATGCTGGAGTCCTTCCGGGAAGCTATGGACAGAGAAGACATGTGACTCAGGGTGGGACTAGGGGATGTCTCTGGGCTGGGGGAGGAGGGGAGTCACTGAGGCCGAGCCCAATGAGAGGGGATGGCAGGGCTGATGCCACCTGAGGAGTTGGGGAAAGGTGCCCCTTTGGTGTGAGAAAACATGAAATAAAATAGAACACAGGAAACACCCCCAGAACTGAAAGCAAACCTCAGAGTTGGGAGACCACAGCTGAGGGCACTTCCCTGATGGGACTAGGATGGGAATGTGAGCCTGAAGAAGCAGTGAGTGGGTGCTGAGGTTACAGAGAAATCCATGGGAGGGGAGCCGTGCTGGGGAGGCCCGATCTGGGAGGGCTGAGGAATGGATGCTACAAGTAGGCCCGGGGCCAAGAAGAGGAAAAGGTGGCCCTGGGCTAGGGCCACTAGGTCAGCTGGCAAGAACGAGCAGAGGAGGCAGGAGGTGGAGAAGCTTTGGAGGAAGATGATAAAAGAGAGCATGGGGAAGAGGCGGGGAGGGGACAGACAGCGCAGAGAGCGGAAGAGGCTCAACCCCGATCACAGAATGGCAAAGTGGTGTCTCCTTTGCCATTGGGGATGCAGAACCTTGTGGGAGTCAGGAAACCTGGGTTCTGGTCCTGGCTCTGCCTCTACTTTGCTGTGTGACCTTGGGTAAGCCACTTCCTTCTCTGAGCCTGATTCCTCATCTAAAAAAGTGAAGGGGTTTGATACAAAAGTACAACGAGCTTACGATTCCACTTATATGAGGTACCTAGAATAGGCAAATTCATAGACAGAAAGTAGAAGAGAGGTTAGTTAGCAGGGGCCAAGGGCAGGGGGAATGGGAGTGTTCGGTACAATTTCAGTTTAAAGTTCTGGAAATGGATATTGATCATGGTTGCACAACACTGTGAATGTACTGAAAAGTGGCTAAAATAGCAACTTTTATGTTAAGTATATTTTGCCACAATTAAAAAAATAAGTGAGGGGGCTTATGCAGATGATCTTGCAGCCCACTTTCTATCCACTAAGACTACTGAGGGGGGGTGAGAAGGGTGTCACCCCCAGGACCAGGTCACCGAGGGTCTGGCCTCGGGACAAGGAGTGTGATCAGACTACTTTACATTTGTGTAGGACCTTAATGCTTTTCCAAGGAGACTCACAGGCACGGTATTATATTTGGTCCTCAACACAGCCACGGGAGGTAGAAGGACATTCTCCCCACTTTATAACTGGGGAAACTGAGGCACAGAATAGCCAAATGATTGGAGGCCAAGGTCATTCAAGTTGGTGGCAGTTTATTATTATTATTATTATTTTAAATAGTCACCTGGAAAATATCCTTACACCTTATAGGTTTACCTATTCAAATACCCGCTGGCTTAGTGGTCTTTCCAGAAAGGACGCATGCTATAAATTAGTAGCACAAAGCATTGTATCCTGGGGCAAACAGGCTGGCTTCATGCCTGGAAGATGAGAGTTATGAAACCTGATGTGTTTCTCTTTTTACCATGAATGCCAGGAAACTCAAGAGTGATTTTTTTTTATAACTATTTTATCTATTTATTTGAAGCACAGCAGAAAAAAAAAATAGGTACACTTTGGAAATTCAGTGGCAAAGAGTAAATTTTAATTGCATGATTATGAGAATTACATCAGATCAATTTGGGGAATGATCATTCTTGTTTTTCTGACTTTCTACAATATTTACGTTGTCTTTTTAAACGAAGATTTAAAAAGATTCTATTTCTGTTGTAGCATGCCTCTGAGGCTTTCTGGAAATTCTCAGGGTTATTAAACCAAATCAGAGCTGGGATGAGGACTAGGGCTCCCTAATTCCCAGCACAGTGCTCTTTTTAAATACAGCATCATGGTTACTGATTAAAAGAAAGATGGCCTCATTGGTCAGGGCTGTGAACACAGTGTGGCCACTGGCGCTTAGCATCTCCCTGGGGGTTTGTTAAATATGCGCAGGCTCCTGGCCCAGAAAGTATGGGTGGGGCCCAGGAAGCTGCATTTTGGAAAGCCCTCAGAGGATTCTGATGCAAGGGGTCCCCAGACCACCCTCTGGGACACACAGGTCCAGTGCTTCAGGGTGGGCTGCTTTCACGTCTGGGTTGGGCAGTGGCACGTTCTGGGTGTCCTGTATCCATACAAAGCCCGCAGAGGGGCAGTGAGTGTGCAGAGCCAGCAGGACAGAGTTTGGGCTGGGGGATCCAGGGGACCCAGATTCTAGTCTAGACTCAATGACTTCCCAGTTAGGTGACTCTGGGATGAGACCTGCACCTCAGGTTCCTTATCGGCAAAATGGGAGCACCAACCCCCGTCCTCCCAAGGCTGCCTCCCAGGGTTGTCCCTGAGAGGTTGGAAAAAGACGTGGGATGGGGGAGCGATTTCTAGAGAGTAAAGTGCTCTCCAGGTGGAGTGTACAGGGGGGTCATTATTATTATTAACAAAGAGGTAGTGGGAGCTTGGGGGGCTGGTGAGGCTGAAAGGGGAAGACACTCTGGATGGGAGGAAGAGCTAAAAGGCCTGGAAGTTAGGTGGGCAAGAGGAAAACAGGCTGGGTGATGAAACCGTGAAAAGAGCATGGGGCGGGCCTGATGGAGCCATGAGACAATCAGGGTGTAAGAGGGTCAAGTTTGTGTCATCTGGGAGAGCAGCTTGTAGAGGAGTATCGGGAGGCTGGGGATGGGGGTGGGGGTGGGGGTGCATTTTGAGTTCATAGAAAGCAAGACCTCTTGGAGGTGTTTTGAAATTGGTCAGCCTTTGCTGTGGAAAGAATTGGGGGGGATGGGGCTGCCAGGGAGACTAGGAATTGGTTGGATTCTGATGCCTTGTGCGTACAGGGTCTAGAACCACTCATGCACCCAAGTGGTAGGAGTTTCATTTCAGATACAGACATCATGGCCCCCAGGAAGCTCTAATTTGGCTCTGGAAAGAGGTCTGATACAAGAAACATAAGGTGGCCCCATTTAGGATCAACCATGCGAACTGGTCTTCCGTTTCCCCTCCTAACCAAGTGGTGCCAACACCACGGACCCAAGCCTCGGTCTAGATCTGTAGTGGATTAGGACCCCAGGGCTCCTTGGGACTTTGGTAGAAGAAAGTAGAGATTGGGGAAAAGGTGGAAGAAGGATAGAGTAGGAGGAGGAGGAGGAGGAGGAGGAAGGTGCCAGGAGTAAAACGGTAGAGGGGTAGTAGGAAGGGAAAGAAAGGGAAGAAGGGCAGTGTTCCTTCCTGGGACCCCCATGTTCCAGGGGAATCCCCACTGTGGGTCAGGCAGTTTTCTGCTTTGGGAATGTTACCAAGACTTAAAAGGCATTTGAAGAAACAAACAAACTTAGAAATTACATTCCAAAAGAGTAGAGAGTTTTTACAAACCAATCTCCCCCCACCCCCAAAAGGAAAACACAACCAGTTACTAATGAAAATGCTAAAACTCAAACTAAATCAATATTTACATATAACATTTTCAACCCCATCGAGCCCCAGGTCCAGAGGCTTCTAAAGGAAGAGCAGTGAGTGACCTTGCACAGTGACATGCAGGAAGTAGAAACTGGGACTTTTGGATCCGGAGCCTCTGACACTGGCTGGGGGCCAGGCATCCAGGCGCTGAGACAACGAGGATGGCAAGGACAATCTTGGACGAGGACGATGGTAAGGCTGAGTGGTCCATAGGCCGCCAGGTTCAGGTATCACGAGGATTGCTCCCCAAGGCTGGGAATGCAGACTCCCTGGCCCTCTGGAGCTTAGGGAGGTGGCAGAAGGCCTCTGGTGGCTTGTAGCCTGTTGTTGTGAATCCCCTCACCTGGAGATAATCTTGAAAGGACCCCTTGAGCTCTTGGGTGGGAGCACAGCATCCCAGAGCAGGCTGGTCCATGGCCCCATGGGTCTACCTGCCCCGCCCATACAAGTCGTTATGGCATGAGGAAGTAACTGGTCAGACATGACCCTGATGTTCGGTCGCTAGGGAATGGAGATGAAGGGCTTTGGGTAACTGGCCCAGGTGACCCTGACAGGGCAGAACTAGGAGTAGGTGGGAGTGCAGAGGCATCTCCAGAGTCCTGGGGACAAACTAGAAAAGCTGCTGGCTTTTGGTCTTCCTGATGGGGAATTCCACAGACAAACCATTTCATCCTGGCATTTCCACTCTAAGCCCTCAGCCAGTGATAGGAGGGCCACCTATCTATCTGTAGCGGGAGGCATGTGTGCAACCAAAATGCGTTCACTGGTGCCAAGGGGGAGGCCCCCTGAAGCTTCCTTACCACACTGCAATCAGCCATGTTGCAATCCATCTGATGGCTTAAGCGGCTTGGAATGTGGGGAAGGGTGGGCAGTGGAGTTGGGGCTGAGAGAAGAGCCAGGAGAGGCCATAAGGCTAAGGAGAGAGGCTGGTGAAAAGGCTGGCAGGCTGGTGAGAACTCAGGCAGGCTGGCAGACACTCTCAGATCCATGTGCAAAGCTGCAATAAACAACATTCTCAAAGTTCAGTCCTGTTTTCCTGCGAATTCTCACTTGGGGAACTTGGCGGGATCTCCGTGCTCTTGACAGAGTCTAAGTAATCCATGTTTGACTCATAAAAAAAAAGGTGTCAGCGGAAGGGAGGAAAAGGAGAAGGGAAATGGAGAATGTTTGAGAAGTGGTGACATCAGTCCAGCCCTCCAGCCTATCAGCAAGCATTTGCAGGCTGACTGTAAAGGTGCCGGGCAAGTACCAGGTGCGAGTGAAAAGCAGTGCTCGGAGGCCAATGGTCAGTGGTGTTTGGGGAGCAAGCGATTGGACTCCAGCTCTGCTTGGGGGAGGGGCCCTAAACTTGACCAGGAGACCAGAGCTTGGCTGCTGAGCTGCCTCATCCATATAGAGGACCCCATGCCTGTCCATCATGTTAGAAACCTTGCATTGTCCCAGTGGCAAGAATACAATGTCTCAACCTCCAATAAATTACCTTAGGGACTTTGGGGTAAATTAAATTATTAAAATAAAGTAAAACCACCTTAAATAATTATAGTAAGAAAAACTCAAATAAACAACGTAGGCAAGAAATGTTTCCAGGCCCTAGTTTACCGCTGCGTCCTGGGGCACCAGGCTTTTGGAGTGTTCCTCCATCTGGCCTGGCCAGCTGGGAGTCTCTGATGGGGAATATCTTTGCCCTCCACCAGCCGCAGGATGTAAACACAGTGGAGATGTGGCGCCCCTCCAGGGTGCCAGGAAAGAGGCCCCAGTGATCAAGGCAGTGGGCATTTAGGCAGGTATCTGTGCACCAGGTCTTAGGAGAGACGCTTCCTATTTCTGTCTTCAAGGAATCTCCTAGGAAGGTTGTCACCTTAGCAAGGGAGGCAGTGCCAGGGGCTCCCCAACCCCGAGACCCACACATTCCCACCTCGTTTTCCAGTCCTTGCTGGATCCAAGCTCTGGGCAGAGAGATCCAGGGCACCAGGATTCCAAGCAAACACTTGGCTCTGGCTGCTGCCCTATCATACCCCCTCGAGTCACGGTGGTCCAGAGCAGCAGGGCTGGGAGGAGGAGGGAAGGAAGGGATGGGGATCATCCCCAGCCCAGCTCCACCAGGAACCCCAAGCTGAGCCCTAGGCCAAAGCCTGTTCTTTTCATTGGTGTTTCCTCCCCATGAAGGGGCTGTGATTGGCAAGGAACATCTCTGCCAGCGTTCCCCGAGGGGTGTGACCACAAGTGTATCCTTTCCTCAGCTCTTCTGAGAAGTGGCTGTGGGTAAAATCACGCAATGCTCTCCTTTAGGACCCCGGAATAGGCTCCCAACAGATCTCTCTGGAGATGCTTTCCGAAGCCCAGTTTTGCTCTTTCTCCTACTCACTGTCTTCCCCTGGGAAGTCGGAGATCGCCACCCAGTGGTCAGCAGGACACCCCGCTTTACCTGGATGGAAGAGCTGTTCTCAGCCGTGGAGCAGCTGCTATCCCCCAGGGCGAGGTGATGCAGAGGGCACGGCCCTCCTCTCCGTTGGTTCCTCTCCGTTGGTTCCCTTCGCTGGTTCCCTTCGGCTATCCATGGACTGGGCTGGTTGAGGTGGGGAGCTCAGCTGCTTTTTCACTCGCTGGGGGGCGGTGCCCTCTCCTCCCCACCCCAGCTGGACTCTGAAGGGTGCAGCCTGCACTTGGATGGAGAGTGGCGGACGGCCGAGCGGGATGGCCGCGCGAAGCAGGAGGTAAGAGACTGGGAGCTACAGTCACAAACAGCATCCTAGGAGGAGGGAGGGAGAAAGTCAGGAGGAGACAGGAGGCACTGACCACCCAGGGGTTGGATGGCCAGCCAGGCAAGGAATCTGGACTCGGCCATGTCCAGGGACCAGTTCCCAGGGTCTGTAGCCCCTCCCTGGACCAGTTTTTTAAAATTGTTTTTCTTCCATTAGAGCAGTCATGAATATTCATAAATAACATTCTAGAATGTAATAAATCCTAGAATATTCAGAGAAGAATGTGGACGTTGTCCATGGTCCTACATATCAAAGTTAAATTCTCACCACATTGCACACACATACGTTTACCAAAATGACCTCATCATCCTTTACAGCCTAGGTTGCAATTGCAAAACATGAACCCTTTTCTGTCACTACATATGTAGTGACATATGTCTAGATCTTCTTTTTAATAGCTGTCTACTATTCCAGTGAGTGGAGATACCTTAATTTATTTGTCCAATTCATTTTTGATGTGCATTTAGGTAGTTTCTATTATTTTACTATTACCAACACACAGGGATAATGGTTAAAAGTGCTGTTATAGAACTAGAATGCTTGGTTCAAATCCTACCCCTGTCACGTCCCAGCTGTGTGATCTTGGATAAGGTTACTTAAGTCTCTGAGCCTTGATTTCCTCCTCTCTAAGATGAGGGACATGATACCTTTCTCAAAGTTGTTGTGAGGGTTAAGTCAGATATGTAAAGCATCTGGCATAGTGCCAATTACATGCTTAATAAATGTTAGCAATTTTTATTAATAACGCAATACATTTCTTTACACAAATATGTTTTCCCACCTCTGTGAATATTTCCACAGGCTACATTCATAGAACTACTGGTCAATGAGTAACATGTACATTTTACATACTGAGAAAATATCTGGATCAACTTTAGAATCAACATTCAAAGTACAGCCAGCTTTGAACCTTTGTTGCCTGATGTAGGTGTGGTCATATGGGTGTGATGGTTAATTTTATGTGCCAGCTTGACTGGGTCTCAGGGTGCCCAGAGAGTCGGTCAAACATTATCCTGGGTATGTCTGTGAGGATGCTTTTGGATGAGATTAATATTTAAATTGGTAGACTGAGTAAAAAGATTGCTTTCCCTTAAGTGGCCGGGCCTCATCCAATCAGTGGAAGGCCTGAGTAGAACAAAAAGTCTGACTCTCCTTGAGCAAGAAACAATTCTTCCTCCTTGATGGGTTTCAAGCTGGGATGTGGGCTTTTTTCCTGCCTTCAGACTCAAACTGAAATCTCGACTCTTCCTGAGTCCCAGGCCTGCCAGCCTTCAGGCTGGAACTACATCAGCTACCAATACTATACTGGGACAACACCGCTGGCTTGCCTGGTTCTCAGGTGTTGGGCCTCAGACTGGAAATAAACCGTCAGCTCTCCTGGGTCTCCAGCCTGTTAACTCACTATGCAGATCTTGGGACTTGTCAGCTCCCATAATCACGTCAACTAATTCCTTGTAATACTGGTGTAAACCAATTACACACACACACACACACACACACACACACACACACACACACTCCAGCACCTGCCATCTCTGCTTCAGCAGAGAACCCCAATAAAATATTCAGGTTGTGAGACTTTAGTGAGCCATATCTTATGATATGCTCAGTACGTATATTAAATTTAAAAGCGTTTAAAAAGTTAAAAAATAGAAATATTTGAAAGAGTTCTTAAAAATGCAGCCAGTTGGGTGGAGTACAGAGGAGTAAAGTACTGACCACACACGGCGGGGGGCTGGAGAAACTGGACAAAGTCTTTTGAAAGACAAGTTGGCAACATTTGTCAAATACCATTAAAAATGTATATTCTTTTGGCCTAGAATCCCATTTCTGCAACTCGAACCTGAGGAAATAATCTGAAATGTGGAAAAATGTTTTTGAACCAAGATATTCACCACAGAATTACTGATAATAGGGAAAAACGAGAAACCATCTAAACATACAATACATATACCATTGGGCCAATCACAGCCCATCCCACCTCTGTGCCCCACCCACCCGCAACCTTCACCTAATGCACTGCACACATGATACCGCCCCTGGCAGCAGCTGACTAGACAAGGGAGTACACTGGACTCGAGCCACACCAAAAATGTGGAATTAGGACAGAGGAATTTGAGTGTCTCTCAGGAGCTTGACCTGGGAGATGTTATAAAACCAGAGCTGGAGCAGCCCTCCTGACCATATGCAAACACAACAGAGAAAGAGAAGAAGGAAAAGGGCAAAGTAAATGAAGCTCAAGCGAGAGGAGAGGGAGGCAGAGAAGCTGCTGAAGCCTTCGCGTCCCAGTCCTCAGGTTCCGTAAAATATTCTACCATTTCCCTCTCTGCGATGCTAACTTATATGCATTCTTTTACTAACATGCAAATAATCCCTAATGAAATCTGAAACTGATATCAGGAGGGGGGGGTATGCAGAAAAAGATTGTGAGAAAATGGGAGCACTTAGGCATGGAGTCTTGGTGGGGTGGGGGCAGTGGTGCTGGTAAATGTTTAATAACTAGGTTTCTAGTAGTGAGGGGAGAGGCCCTGACTTGTGGCATTTGCCAGTTTTCATGGTGTAAATCATCCCACTGTGGCCAATCTCAGGGTACCAAGGTGATGTCACTGAACACAGAGATGCACACACCCAGCTCTCACAAACCGCACGAGCCAGCTCTAGCACACTGGTGGCAGGAGAGACGTGAGCACACCCCTTCCCTGTGGGGGATGCTGGCAATCTCTGGTATGTGGTGGCAAAGCAGCTAGTTAAGCCACGCCCACTAGTCTCTCAGTATTCAGATCATGTGTCTTTCCATGGGGCCATCCAATGCCCATCCCAGACTGGCGCAAGAACTTTTTGAAACACATGAACTATATTCCCTGAGTTGGAAAACCACAAGAGCTTGGGCCTTATTAGCCAACGGCCACCTCCCAAAAAAAAAAGGGCAGCCCCACCCACCTACCTCATTGGGAAGGACCAGGGCTCCTTCTCCATCGCGGAGGAGACCATCCTTCCCCACCTGGGGGAGCACAGACAGTCTGGCTTCCTCTCCGGTGCCTGACTTGGCTGCCTTCTTGTTCAGGATCCTGGCCATGCCCTCCGGCTGATGATAGCTGGCTGGGGAGAGGGGCTCCGGCTTCTTGGCGCTCTCCTCCCCTGCCGCCACCGAGGTGGGACTCGGTGCCCGGCCACACACGTTGCGGAAGAACTCCTGCACGATGCCATACTTGGGAGGCTCGGGCTTGGCCCGGGCCTCGGACATGCCCAGTTTCCAGACAGACTCCGTGCTCCCTGAGTGCTCCACCACACTGAAGAGGCTGGACAGCCCGTCATTGATGTTCCTCAGCACGGGGCTGTCGCGCGTGGTGGTGGAGCGGGCCCACGCAGAGCCGTTCTGCTTGCCCTGGTGCAGGTTCCACAGGCTGCGGTCCTTGGCGCCGTCCAGCTTGGACACGGACCGCCTCTGGAGCTTTGGCGAGCCGTACTTGGGCGAGCAGCATGGCCGCTCGATGCGCGAGTGCACCTTGTCCAGGGAGGAGGAGATCTGCTTGCTGCGCACAGACACCAGCGAGGAGCTGCGGGGTGACCAGCTCTTGCTGTGGAGGCTGCTGCGGGGCGGGTCAGTCTGCAGGCCCACGCTGACCGTGCGGATGGTCTGGGTGCCCACACTGGCCAGGCCCACCGTCTGGCTGGACGTGCTCTTCACTTTCCTCTCCAGCGAGCCGGAACGCATGGCCTGGCGCACACAGTTGGTGATCTCCTTCATGTCGTCGCTCATGTTACCCGACATTTCCAAGTTGTGCAGGGCCGCTGGGAAGCCTGGCCCGGCTGCCGAGGGGCCGGCCCCTGAGCCCCCGTCCAGGCGCTGCCGTGAGAAGTTGCAGAGCCACCGGCCGTAGGAGCTCTCAGCCAGCCCGTTGGCCTCGGCCGACTCTTTGGGCTTGGCGGTGGTGAAGAGGAAGCCGGGCTCGATGACGATCTTGCCCTCCCTGTCGTGGACCACGGGGACACCCAGGCGCCGGGCCACTGGAGGGCTATAGTACACCCGGATGCCCGTCTTGTCAGGGGCAGTGTAACTACGCTGCATCTGCCTCCCTGCCGAGTCCTGACAGGCCAGGGCACCCAGGTGGTTGCAGTCCCGTGGCTGTGCCTGGGCATCCTTCTCTGGGTCCACCGGCTGGGTGCCCACAAAGGCAAAGGCAGGGTTATTAGGCAGCTTCTTGCCCCGGGCGGCTTCACCGGCAAGGTAGGGGGAACAGTCAAGCAAACTTTCAAACTCAGACATGGAGGAAACAGATTTGGTCCTAGGAAGAGGAGAGGAAGGAAAAGTAGTGTCGGTGGAAGGTAACACACACCGAGCAGGCACTCTGGTCTTCCTCCTTGGTCCTTGTGCTGCACGGGGGCGGGGACCACGACTGCCCCGCTCACCTCTCTGTGGAAGTCTCTGTCATTGCCCCGCCCCACAGGCCCTCTGCACTCACACCTACACACCCAACATCGCACGCTCTGGGCACACGCCATTCTCCACCCGAGGGCTTTTTTTCTGACTGCAGGAGCACGCGTGGCCTCCACACAGAGGAAGCTGGAAATATCACAGCATTTGTGGCCCTAGACGCAGCCCTCAACAAACAATGGGTGGGGTTTGGTGCCTCTTTGTTCCTTCGTGGGACATGATCCTTGAGTGCAAGCTCCACTCTGGCTCCCAGAGTTCCTCAGAGAAACTGGGCTCGGGTTGCCCGTGGAATGATAACACCCCCTTTACTGCTGCCTCCCCTTCCCTGTCTCACTTCTGGGTGTTTCCTGGAATCCTCTCCCAAATACATCACTTGCACTCAAACCCTTGTCTCAGGATCTTGGAGACAAGGTCTCAAATCCTTGTCTTTGTTTTTGGGGGAACCCAAACTAAGACTCCGCTAAGTCTCCAGTACAGACCTGGCACATGTGTTGCCTGATGACTAAAAATGCCATCTGTAAATGTGTCTCACATGTCAAACCATTCAGTCCTCCCATAACTCTAGGAGGAAGCATCTATTATCCCCACCAGGTAGAGGGGGGACATATCCAAGGCCACAGAGCTAGAAACGACAGAGCTAGAATTCAGACTCCACAGCCCATCCTCCGACCCCGAGGCCTGCCTGGGTTCAGGCTGCTCCCATGGCTCCTGTGGGGTTCTGTTGCCCTCACTCCTTTCATGAGTTTCCTAATGGTGGAGGCATGGTCCTGGGCCCTCGGGGTCTCCCTGGACACAGCATAGGGCTGGGCCCAGAGGAAGCTGCTTAATAATCCCAGGAATGGGGGGGGGGTCCAGCTTGACTCTCCTAACTCCAGACACAAGAAGAAAGAACCCCAAGAGGAGTTATACAGTTTCTTTCCCAGCTAAGGTATGTGGGGGCCCCACTTTTCCATGCCCAGACACAAACAAACAAAAAATTGTAGGTAGGGATTCCCATCGCCCCAAGCTTCCCAGCTCCTAAGTGGCTCGGGTTCCATAAAAACCATATCCCAGGGGTTCTCCCAATCCTGTGGAGGTGCAGCGGTGGGCACATGGGGCATGGGAGGGAAGAGAGGCAAAGGGGCGAGGCAGGTGTAGGGCAGAGCAGGGGGCGGGGCTGCAGGGCACAGCAGGGGAGGGGAAGCCAGCACCTCTTTAAGCCAGTTCCCCCAAGCTCAGCTTCAGAAACAGCCTCCTTGTCGTGGATCTTCTCACTGTGTGTCTGTCAAGGAAGAGAGACAAGAAGGGTCAGTTCTGGCCACCAGCGCCCTGAGAGGTGACAGGAGCTCAGTGTGGGAGCTGACCCTGGACCCCACACTGGAGTCTTCTCTTCCAGAGCAGGAGTGATGTCAGCAACAGTCTAGAATGGCCATTGGTCAGTTTCTGGCTACCGTGCCTCTAACCCTGCCTCCATATGATCTAGGCTCGGCCAATGGGAGCTCTCAGAGAGAATCCCAAGAAAACAGAATCTGTTCAGAGCTTAATCTGAATGTGGTGGCAGCATCCAGTGGCTGCTGTCCAGTAGGCGGTGACAGCAGTGACCTGAAGGTTCCTGCTCTGGGTTTGTCTCACTTGGTTCTAGTGCAGGTTCCCCAGGACCTGCACCAGTTTTCTGAACTTTCATCACTAGCCCTCTTGAGCCCCTAATAAAAATCCTTTCCTGCCTCAGTTTCCCAGAATTGGTTTTTGTTGCTTGCAACCAAGTCTCCTGAGGTTGGTTTTTGTTATTTTTAAAGATTTTTATTGGGGAATTGGCGGGATGGAAACAGTGCTGGGGAATTGGGGGAAGGGGAACAGACAAGTTGCTGTCGT